TTTTTCATATTTCCTTTTATTTGAAATTGATTATTCGATTATCGAAAATAATTGATTATTAAAAAGCTGATTATCCAATAAATCGATCATTTTAAAAAAATAACCAAAATATCGATTATGTAATATAACCGATTATATCTAATCGATTATTTTCATATAATATCTTTGAAAAATCGAAAATAATCAAATAATTAAAAAACCGATTAAACGATAAATCGGTTATTTTGAATAAATCTACTTTTTTGTATTTCCTTTAAAATCGATTAATACATTATCTTAAAAAAAACGAAAATAATTTATTAAAAACAGCGGATAAATCGATTTTCATTAAAAAATATCAGAATTATCGATAAATCGATTATTTTTTTAACCCCTATCGGTCGCTTGCTTTTATCTGAGCATTTAGCTCCAAAATTTAGAGATTCGGATTTTTTGATTCAGTTATCTTTGAAATCGCATTCGATTGTATAATAAATAAATATTGCTAAATTTTGGATTTTTTTTAGTAAACGAAAATTATGTTGTTTAGGGGTTTGCAATGTAACATTTTATTAACGTGACTAAGGGTCGATTCCACCGTTGTGTTAAACGAAGTTTAAAATGACATTTTTACATTAACATTGTCATTTTAATCTCCGTTTAACACAACGGTGGAATCGGACCTAACTCCTGTAACTTTAGTATTTTTTTTTGCTTATACTAGATTACTTTGTTTTAATACTGAAAATTCAATGTCACTTTCGATTTGACCGCAAATAAGATGAACCTTGAAATTTTAAGTAGGTCATCCTGTATTTCATCTAATATTCTTATAAAAATACCTTATAAAAATACCTTATAAAAATAAAATTTAGCTAGCAACTATGATTCTTTACCTCTTATTTATCTACCAAAAAGGGCTAAAAACTACCTTTAGAAAACATTCTTATAAAACTACTTTTTAAATACAAAATTTCGTTAGCAATAATGCCTATTTACTATTTATTTAAATTAAATGTTCAAAATTTTACCCTTTTGTAAATTTATGTAAGTAATATGATATCTGATTTCTGATGCTTAATATTTATTGAAAACCCTTAATGCGGATCTGAAGTATTCAGCCCAGAGAATCATGGCGCTTTATGTCAAAACGTTAATAAATATTTACCGCTGAAAACGAATATATTCATAACAGTAGTACTTGTATTATAAGTACATACAATTTTTCAAGATACATCGTGACATTTTGAACTTGAAATTGAATAACTAGAACACTTTAAATTGCTAAAATACCAACAAATAAATCAAAGAACAGCTGTCAATGGTGATTAAACTTAGGTGGAGGTGATCGCTGAATGGAAATCGGAGCAATTCGGGTGGCGTCGTGCAACAATGATTTTCAATTGGTGGGTTACTTTGGCTTAAAATAGACAACATGCGCAGTGTGCAATGTTACATCTTCGGTCTCTTTAATCTAAGGTGGCACTATAGCGAGAGCGGTCATGGAAAAGGTGCCCCTGATGGGATTGGGGGCTGCGTTAAAAGGACAGCCGATAAGTGTGTAGCACACGGGAAAGATGTATCGACGTTTGATGAATTACTGTTGATTTTGAAAAAACACTGTAAAAATATTAACATAATCAGTATTGACGAAGAAAGTATCTTAGAATTGGATACAAAAATACCAGAAAATTTACATGCATTCAAAGGCACAATGCAAATCCGACAAGTATGCTGGTATAAAGATGTTCCTTATACTTTGTATTTTAGAAATCTCAGTTGCTTATCATGCGTAGGAGCTTGTGAACATTATAACCTCGGGTCGCTTGAACTCCAAAATAGCGAAGATACGGAATTTGAAAAAACAGCTTCCAGTAAATTACGTTATTCTGATGTATATTCTTCATCTTCGAGTGATGATGAAAACAAAGAAAATGAAATTATAACCGGGCAGAAGTACGAGATAGCTGACGGAAAATTTGTGGTAGTCCAGTTTAGCGGTAGGAAAAGGAAAAGGCATTACATCGGCAAAATTTTATCAGAAGCGAAAAACGATGAAGTTGTTGTAAGTTTTCTAAGAAGAAAGAACAAAATTAAGTTTGTTTTTCCGGCTGAAAAAGACGTAAATCCAGTTGCAAAAGATGATGTTGTGCTCGTTCTGAAAAATCCTGAAGAAAGAAGGAACCAGTACTTTTTCAACTTCGAAGAAATCGAAGCCATTGAAAATTTAGATTAGTATAGCGACTTCTGACATTATCAGCTTGAAGTTTTTATTGTTTTTGAGATTGGTTCTGTTTTTATTTTGTTTTGTGTAGTAGCTAGTGTACATTATCAATGTTTTATTTTCCTAGCTTTGAAAAAGAAACCACAGCCATTACCATTTTGATTTTTTATATTTTATCTTTTGTTTAGTGTAGTGTACACAACCGTGTTCCCGTAAAGAATTGTTAATGTTTTATATTCTCAGTTTTTTAATAAAACTATTTTAAAGACTGAATAGTTCTCATTTTCATCAACTCCGTTATATCTACATCATTACCGTAATCACATGTTTTTCCAAAATTGCTAAAAAATATCTAAAAACAAAAAATTAAGCTTAACCATCTACTTTGCTTGAAAGTATTTTGTTTTAGTAACATTTTGTTAATATTTATGATTAACTTTAAAAAAATATATATATTAAAAAAAATGAGAGTAAAAAGTAACGTTTTATGGAGAATGACCCCTTTATAAAACTGCACTATGTCGACATAGTTCAGTTTACCTTCCAGGTAGACATCGGTAAATATTTCATTTAGTCTTCATGATATAGGTACATACCTAACATAGACACAATTACTAAGTTTCTTGAATTAATTTGGGCCAGTGCAATATTCATATTATATATCGTCTTTAAAAAAACTGTAAGTTTATAAAATCTTCAGCACTACGTCAGTCTGACACTGTTTATCAGTACCTCTAGCATTTATAGATAGGGCATTTTTCTATAACTATAACTATACAATTGTACTAAGGTCAAGAAATTATCCTTGTTTAAGGGTCGATCTTTTCACCTCTGAGTAAAGTTACATGTATATGTATTACAGACTAACAAACAATAGCCCTATAGTTTAATCAGCAAGTAGTTACTTTCAACTTTTTTCAGAGGTGAAAAGACCGGTCCTTAATAAAATATATAATGAAATTGTCATACTTTTTTGAAACTTCGTTTGTCTTTTGTTGGAAAAATTGCTCAATGCATGACTATTATGTAGACCCTGGAACAAAAAAAGAATAAGTTACAACCGTAATTTGGAAATAAACAAACATATCCTGAAAAATAATTGTTATTTTTTACCTGAGACGTTTTTCGGTAACAATCGTTGAATTGACACACATACTTCCAATTTTTTAAAGTCGCTGTTTTATTTAAACTTAATTTTTAATAAATACAATGCAATTAAAATTGTCTTATGTATTGATTTTTAGAATTTGACAGCTTGATTGGAGATTGAAGATAGAGAATGAAGTAGGTAGAGACGACATGAACACTATTTTGTAATATAATAAGTGAGGCACTTTGAGTTATATTTTGATTAATTTTAAGTTAATAATTTTGTTTTTAAAGATTGACGGAATGAAAATGTTTGAGTTTAACATGTCGTCAAAGGGTAATGCAAAAGTGCATACACTTTTAATACCGTCATTGCATCTCTTTTTTCTATATCTATGGTTTGAAAGATTCGTATGCCGCGCCCTCCTTTACGACGTTGCGCAAAATAAGGTGATTTTAGTGATTCTAAGTAAGTCATTGCTCGTTTCACCGATCTGTTAACGTGTTGACATCTCTTTTTAGCTAGAGGTTTTCGGGAAAGCATCTCGCTTCCGCGGGCTCACTTAGAAAAGTGAACCGAAAAGACGCGATTAGCCAGAGCGCAGTGGCATACCAAAAAACAGAGATTAACATATACAGTGTGTCCATGGATGGGGTCCCAAGGAGGAAAAAATCTTTATTATTAATTTTACGACCAAAAGTCATTCTTTAAAAAAAGTTCTGCTTATTGAGAAAATGGAGTTGCCTTATAAAAATTTTAGATTAAATGTACAGGGTGTTAATAAATTAGGAAAATATGAAAATGCTTCAAGAGGGAAGTACCATTATTTATTATTTTTAACAAAAATTTTATAACACAAAGTTGTTTATAAACTAGCATAGAGACTAAATATAAATTTTTAATGCTGACATAACATGAACGTATACAAAATCGGCTATCTTGATTTTTTTGTAAAATGCAAATTATTACATGAAAGTAATAATTATTAATATTCTATTTTAAAATATTGGAATTTTTATTTAAAAATTTGTATTTAGTCTCTATGCTAGTTTATAAACAACTTTGTTTTATAAAATTTTTGTTAAAAATAATAAATAATGGTACTTCCCTCTTGAAGCATTTTCATATTTTCCTAATTTATTAACACCCTGTACATTTAATCTAAAATTTTTATAAGGCAGCTCCATTTTCTCAACAAGCAGAACTTTTTATAAAGAATGACTTTTGGTCGTAAAATGAATAATAAAGATGTTTTCCCCCTTGGGGACCCATCCATGAATCCATGGAGATAATAAAATTATTAAAATTTAATTTCTATTTTTATGGTATTTATTTTAAAATAATGTGTTTTTATGAAATGTAACTGGGTGTTTACTGCACAAATGAACCAATGGAGAAACCGCTTCTGGTCCTCACATAGGTATATAGTTTATTTGAACATTAAGACAGTAAATTCTCAGAAATGTTTTGCTATAATCAGCCTTAAAACCAGTAAACCATAGACATTAAGATAAAGAAAACAGTAGTTTTGTAATTTATTTAATAATGTTGCTTTTTAAATTAGTTTTTCTACCAAACAATTTCTAGAAATTTACTCTCTCCTACCTATATTTCGGAACCGATTAGAATTTGTTTTATTTTAATAAAACATTTTGAAGTTCTAATTTTTCCCTACTCACAGTTTACTTGTTATTTTTTTTATTATAGGTGTTTTTCGTTTTGAGAAAAAGATACCATCAAGTAACGTTTTTGCATGTATACCATCATTTCGGAATGTTAGTTTTGATGTGGATGACGGTAAAATTTTTTGGCGGCGGCTACGGGACATGGGTGGGCCTTATCAATGGTTCGGTTCATGCAATAATGTACGTTTACTACTTCTTGTCATCGTTGGATGAAAAATGGAAGCGAAGTATATGGTTTAAAAAGTTAATTACTCAAATTCAAATGGTAAGAATTACATTGTAGACATTCATCACATTTCTTTTGCCTACTTAAATAACTGTTGCGAAATTAATTTATCTGGTTGACAATCGAAAGCGAAATCAGACTGCTCTATTTTATCACGGTGACCGTCCAAGATTGATCAAAATTTCTAGCCACTGTTATATTGAAAGCGGACCGCAAAAATTAAAGGAACATATTTTGTAAGGCTAAATTGAAAAAAATATAGGGTTTTTAATTGCTCTGGTTTTAACTCTGACATCAAAATAACAACAAACTTAAGTGCTAAATTTTTGGTACTTTCTCAACTCGTGCGTTAGCAACTCGGGCGTAATATAAAACTACCTACCTGAATTCGTTGCAACTCGGGCGCCCTCCAAAATTGTGCACCTGTGAGTTCGCAACTCGGGCGTCGACGGGATATGAAATTTGACCATAGTTTATGTACCCTGATTCTGATTACAATTTAATATTTTATATTAAAAAAATCACATAAGGCATGACAGCGCTAATTTTGTTTGCCCTTGAAGTTTTCCAGATAATAACATATTCAAATATATCTTGATATATATATATCGTTAACGGGAAACATTTTCTTCCTCTTAACATCGCACACAAACATCTACATACGATTAGTAGGTAAAAATCATTAAAAATATAAATCAATTTTTGCTGATTTACGAATTTATTTGTATGCCTATTGTTGTGATTCATTTTTACAGGTTGTCATAGAAACGACAAAAAAACTACTATGATTATGGGTTAAAAGAATTGTCTAACAAGAGTTTATAAATATTATTGACTATCTCTGCCAAAGTTATGTAAAAATATTAATAATTCAGGTTTAAAAGCTAGGTTCACAATGAATTAGGATTGCAATTTTCAGAGAAAACACAATTATCGCTGTCATGTCTTATGTAATTTTATTAATATAAAATAATTTTTTTAACCACTTTGCTCTGGATTACAGATTGACACAGGTGCAATGTTGTTGCATGTCTTTGGAGCATATTTCATTTTGTTATCAGATGGTGGTCGTAATTTGCAGTGAGCTCTCTTACTATTACCAATTAAGCATTCCAACGACCTGTCAAACAATAGCTGTCAGTGAGAAGGTCTGGTATATCTAAGGGAGTAGAGACATAGTCTTGCATCTTGAACGTTTTTTTTTTATTCGAAATAATAGTCACAAAGTCTGCCAATTTATGAAAAAATGTATCTTATTTTTATTGTTTGACATAAAATATTTAAATGTAATCCATTATTCATGATTTTACGTATTGTAAACAGAATACCTCGTATGTCGCAACCCTTGGATATATCAAATCTTCCCACTGGCAGTTCATTTATTTGGCATGCCCACATACTTTGATTTTCTTTTACTAGCGGCGTATCATTTATCTATAAAAACACACATTGTCCAAACGTTTTAATTGTAAAAAAAACTAAAAAAATTTGCTAATTTTACTATTTTTAAAATGAATACCGTCTTATATGTGTTTAATGCAGGAAATGAAACAAAATCACTGTAAAGGTCTAATTTTTTCAATTGAAGAATAAAACCTTAAAATCAATTTTATTATAAATAAATACAGGAGCGACTTACAGGAACATCTTCAGGCCTGTAATACAATAATATTTAATTATTATAATAGGTTGTTCAATTACGAATAACATTAACTAATATAAACCACAAAAATGGATCCATATTGTAGCGTTACAGCATTATAAAATTAAAGCTGTGAAAATAAAAGAGCAGTGCAAACGTAACTAACAATAAGAAAACTGAGTACGGAATCTACAAGAGAAGAGGTGAGAATGAGCAATTACGAATGTATTTAAATTGCTCGGGATAACAAATAAAGCTGATATTGTAGTGGTATAGTCCCCGTCAAAGAAGGTCTGGATAAGTTAAGGAGGACGGCGTTTTCTCTGTAAATCTGGAGAATTTAAGGATGGAGGGAAGACGAATCTTGCTGGCTCAGGTGTAGATGGCTAGAAAAAGGAGCATGTAGATGAAAGCTCCAGTAAATATCGTCACTTTCGTCTAATTTTTTATTCTCACTCACCGTTTCGGCTTTATTTTCGAAATTCATTTTTAAAAGGAAATAAAAGTAATCATTTATACAAGCATATAATAAAACAACTTGAATTCATTATATTTAATAAGCTAATAAACGTTTGTTTCACTGAAAAAAACATATATGTGAATATAAAAATATATAAATAGATAAGATTAATATCAAAATCAATTTGAAGATATAACAGATAATAAAATGAAATAAATTAATACAAGTACAAATAGACAGTTAATAACATACCTTCTAAAAGTAACACATTTTAAGTAGATGAAAGTTTAAAGAGTTTATTCCTGAACATAACTAATCTAACGTTTTCCCCCTTTTTAATATTATGAGGGTTTTTGTAGTTGAAATGAAAATTATAATTTATTTTGGTCCTAATAAAAATTTAAACATAGGTTATCAAAGAGTAAATAAAATACATAATAGAACTTCATAATCTTAAATCGTTATCAAAAATTATTAATGGTAAAACTTCAAACAATAATTAGATTCTTAAACAAATTTCTAGTTTTTGTTTTGCAAAAGACTTTTTTGCCTTCTTCGGTTGCCTCTGTCACTTTTCTTTTAGTAGTTTCGAGGAGAATTTTCCTATGGAAACCAGTAGAACCATCAATTGGTTAGTAAAACTTTGATATTTTGGGTCTGGTAAGTCTTGTTAAACTTTCTTCTTAGGAAGCTGTAACCTTATGGAGAATAAAAATTTAATGTTAGATCAGAAGCTCTTAAGTGAGAATTATATTTGCAAAGGCCGTTTTAATAATATTTTCAAAAGTTCTTGGAATCGTTGTTAACAGAAACCTGCAAAAAATATATCATTTTATTCCTAAAATATAAGATATCACACAATGCACATTCATGTATCATTGTGCTAGAAAAATTCTAGGTAGGTACTGAGACAATTTAAAAAAATTATTTCGAGAAACTCAACTTTTAATGTCATCATTGTACTTAACTTTTTTATTGTTAAATTATTAATAATGTCATTTTGTGTAGTTCGTTGTGATTTGTATAATATATATTATAAAAACCTATCGTCAATGTTATTGTGCCAAGTTTTTTTAATAATTATTATATTATGTTCCTGTTATAGTAAAAACACATTTAAACACGTTTTTAAAGTTTTCTGGATTTCTGCTTTAAATTACCGTACAAATGAACTGACTAATTGTGTGTTTAAGTAAAGGTATATCTCTTCTTTGTTGTAACAGTCTTTGTATATTGTTCTAACTTTTTAGATAATCAGAGAAAACAGTAAGACATCTTAATATATCCTATTTCACCAACAAAAATGTAGAATAATTAATCTCACATCAAACGAAAAAAGTCATTTCAGGATGTCCTAAGAGGTTTTAACTTAAAGACTAAATAAAATGTACATTGCAACTGTGTTTAAATAAATGAATGTTTTTATACCTGACTATAGCACCAGACAAACATTTTTTTAGATCATAATGATCTGCATAACTCAAAATAGTCAAAATCCACATTATTTAAGTTATTCTAGTACTGTTTTAGCATAACGATGTAAACTCCAATAATAAATATTCACATTTTTTTGGGACGTTTTTAAGGAAATTAAAAAAAAAACATGAATAATGTGATATTCTTGTTTAGTTTTGTACTATATAATATAGTTCATTAGGTAGTGATTTAGAAGCAAATTATGTTCTATTTATAGAATAAAAAATCACTCATAATATCTAAATATTTATACCTATTTATATTTTGGACAGGAAGACTATTTTATGTTTTTGGCTCTGAATAGTTTTCTTAAGAATTTTAAAACCTTCCTTAGCTCTTTTGGGATATTCTTAGAAAAAACGATAATAAAATATCAAAACTCAAATGTAATAGTAGCAAAATGAAATAAAATGAATTTAGCTCAAAGCCGAATATCACATAAAATACAACGACCGTTTCCCCTTCGGGTGTAATTCAATGCCTGTTGTGGTATTAGCCAAAGGAGTAGTTGTTTTTCTGAAGGGGAAACGGTCGTTGTATTTTATGTGATATTCGGCTTTGAGCTAAATTCATTTTATATCATATTCTTAGAAGTTAATTTTGTTTAAACCTAAAACAAAATTAGTCTTTTGGATTAGTTAAAAAAAAGTGTCAACAAAAAAATGGCTATGCCTTTTTCCTTAAACATTCTTTTTGAAATAAACTTAAGTTTCTCTACTTACTTGCTGTTTTAGTATTTTAGTAGCAGATGAATATAGTGTAGAAGTAGTGACAGGATTGATTATTATACTTCTTTCGTCGAAATTGCATTTTTCTTTAATATTTTCCTCCCCTGAGGTCTATAATAAAAATGATCATTAGCATAAAAAGGTATTCAGGTGGTCACTTGTTAAATTCTTAAATTTTGGAACCATGTATTTCTTTCTCATATCAAGAAAAGGAAACCTAAAAAAAATAACAATAAACTTTACAAAGATGTGATATTAAAATAATAATAAGTAATTAACCTCTCTGTTAAACCTTTACTATAATCATTATGATACAGATGAAGACGAACTTAGCTGGGATTTATTCCCTCTTAATTTTACTTTTTCGAAAATAAGAAAGTTCAATTGCAAATTAAAGGTGATTGCCTAATGCACCGCCTCTGGTAATTAAGTTGTATTTGTACTTACCTATGATATAATCTTGAAGAAGCATTTTCAACAGGTCTTTTACACATAAAGCATGTTTTCACCATATTATTACAGATAATAAATCTTCAATATACATTTAAAACCCTTACAAGGCTATAAATAATTATATTTTTCGTAAAATACAAATCAATAATTGATATGTGTCAGAAAGTGTCAGAACGAGATCACAACCTCACTGTCAAACTTGGCAACGCTGAATAAATAAGCCAATTACAGAAGAGGTATTTCCCCCCTCGGGGGGAGTAGATGTTGCTAACAAAATTTA